ACACCAACTCGAAATGTGAGGAGGAAAAGTGATAGGAAAAGGATTATATGCGTATGTCCAAACCCAAAGAGAAAAAAATAGTAAAAGCAAAATTCTAGGGAAGAATTTAGCTCAGGGGAAAGTGTTATAGCGGAACAACCTATCACACCCCGACAGTGATTGGTCAGTCTAAAGAGACATAAATGAGGAGAAAATAAAAGACGTGACGAAGTATTGTAGTAACAGTACCACTACGGATCTCCATGACATATCTCCCATTTTCCTTATTATGATTATTAAGAACTCTTACTCATTGTACTTTCTGTACAATAAAACCCATGTTGTTTTACCTAATTCCTGTGTTTAGCGTAATCTTTCCACTCGGAATTACCTGGTTGCTTATATCGTATTATCCACGATATAACAATACCATTGAACCTTCTTCAAGTACTTACTGAATCGGGTAACCTTCTGGGAATTTCAGACTGAAACTTTTAATTAATCTATGGCAGTAGGGTGTTCTTCTTAATGTCTACGGACATATCATCCTGTTCTTATTTAGTACTGCTTAGTTATTGCTTGCCTTGTTTCCACTGAGTTCAAGTCAGCACTGCCTGACTCAAGGATTAAACTCACAATTAATATATCACCAAATTTATTAACTAATGCTTTAATCCACTAGACTATGGATGGGGAACCCTTTTGTTTATGAAGGCTACATTTAATTCAAGAGACTAATCCTCCTTCTCTACTGGTTAGAGACTAGGAGGGTATCAGTAATGATGAAAGATAAATAAAATAGATTTTTTTTTTTTTTTTTTTTGAATCATTTCACCCCAGGTAAGGAAATAAAGCCACTAGGATGCAAGTTACTGAGTGTTAGAGAATATGAGAAAACCTACTATTAAGGTGAGAGGACAATAAAAGAACAAGAATTTAGATAGAAGATAACATTTGACATTGGATTTAAATTTTTAAAGATCAAAGTTGACTAGGATGCAAGAAGCTGGAAGAGAGTTCCACAAGTGAGAAGTGTGATAGAAGAAACTGTTAGTATAGAACTTAGGGTTACAGCTAGCCATTCCAACTGTAAAATGATGAGATCTTGCTGTTAATCTAAAACGGAATTTAAATTCATAAAGCCTAGATACAATAAAGGAAAGGTTATCAGAATAATTACCATGAAAGTATTTATAGAAAAGGCAGAGGGAAGCTACATTGTGGCAGTGGGAAAGTGAGTGAAGCTGAGGTGCCAGGTCAGGGTCAGTAACATTGCAGATTTTATCAAGAATCTCTAAATATATAGCAGGAGCACCAGACTAGATGTGGGAGCAATATTCAAAGCATGGACAAATGGTATACTTATAAATATGTAAGATAGATTCTGTTGAGAAAAATTGTCTAGCACAACTGAATTGTTGAAAACAACTGTAGAAAACTGGAATTGGTTTAACAAGTTTATTAGCTTTTGGTACAGGGAAACATAATGTAGAATAGAAACTAGGAAAGAGAATGTTTAGCCATGAACGACTAATTTTAGCAAAGGTTACTGCTGCTACTGCTACTCCTCTTGATGTAGGATTATTTTTATGTCTCATCTGACGTCTGAGGCAAACTTGTAGGGAAATATTCTCCCTCACAACACTAACATAGTAAACCAACTTTCTTTGCTGAAGACTTACTAATTGATTCAATATACTCTTTCCACTTCATGTCAGCTGATAACGTTAGTCAGAGAAGGCACAATGAGTGAGTCTCCTGGAGGTTAGCATCAGCCATGCTGATGGAAGGTAAAAATGGTTCTCTCAGATGATTAAAAGAAAGTAGTTTCATTTTTGAGGCAATAAAATTAACAAGCCACTCCTTGCCCCATTTAACAACAAATTGTAGGTCATTTTTGTGATCAGCTGCAAATTTGACTTTATTGAACTGATCAGACTTACTATTGAGACAAGAGTAAATAGTTGCCATCAGCATAAATACCAAGGTTGAGAACTGATGACATCAGCATCATCAATGATGAAAATTAGAAACAGCATAGTTTCAAGGATAGAGCCCTGAGGAACACCTGCATTTATGCCATAAAAAACAAATTCAAAAACCTATAATACCCATACCATTTCATCCACAATACAAGAAAAGCATACAAAATATACAACTGCAACAAAAATAACAACATCATCCGTAATAATAAATTATATGAGAACAGATACACAACACTACCAAACAACTCCATTAGACCACTATCCAGAATAACCTATCCCATCTAAATAATCTCAAAATAATCATAAACACTTCCATAACCATTATGGATATAATCAGATCCTCAAACACCCATAGCAATAATATTTCTGAAGCAGGCATATATAAAATAAGTTGCTGAAACTGTTACTCATCCTACATTGGAGAAACATGCAGAAATTAAAAAAAACACATCTATGAGCACAAGAGACCTCATAAGTAACAATTTAACAAATGCACTAGTCATACATAGAAATAAATTCAACCACAATTTTGATTTTATAAATGCTACATTGATAAGAAAATGATTCACTCAGAAGGAAAATTCTAGCGAGTGCCGTCATTGAATATTATCCAAATATTAGTTTACACCCAGGTTTTTCCCAATATCCCCTTTCCTAACAGAATCACTACTCTCCCAAGACACTGTATGCAACAAATATATCAAGAAATGTGCTTCCGAGGTCTCCTCCTGGGTTAAAGCTGGAATCGAGGCTTTCATCCCCTCAAGGAAATATAAGGTCAAATTGTTCTTCTCCTCCTGGTTCTCCGCTGCTTGCTTAGCTGCCATCCATTGTTCATAGGAATCACTTCTTCCACCTTTATCATAGCGACATGCAATAGACATCTCTTTGTCTCTGCTCGTAACAAGTGTAAGCGTGTCCTCAATAAAGCAAAGTCTCTATATGCTGCTCGAATGAAAGAACATATTGCATCTTGCAAATTTGGCTCCAAGGATTATTGTCTCTGCAAGAGCATACTTAACCCTCTATACCTCCTTTGTTCAACCAGTTTGAGGTTCTGACCTCTTCTGCTGACAAAGCTGAATGCTTTGCTTGGAAATTCTCATTCAATTCAACGCTTGACTTTTCCGGTGTACCCACACTCGATTTCCCCCTTAGAAATGTAACATCAATTGACGTCTCCAGATGCCCTGATCTATCCCCTTACCTTCTCTTCATCCTCTCCTCTATCACTCCTCTTTGTTTTCACTCCAACTCTCTGTAACCCTTTGCATGCTAGTGGCTTCCTGCCTTGCTTGGGTTTGAATGCTTAAAAAAAAAAAACATCAAAAGAAAACTGTCAAATCCATCAACACAACAATACAAACAATATTTGTACATATGAAAATATTCTCTTCAAACATAAATTAATTGATGTAATTTTTCAGTTGACCATATGAATATACAATAGAATTTCTAAATTTCAATTTCATTTTGTTTGTTGTTTATAGATACTTTGTTTCAATGAATTAATTTCGTTTTTTGCCTTGAAAAAGTCCACATTGGACAAAATGTATTAGCTAAAAATGCAGTTTTCTTATTGTCTTTTCTTTAATATATATATATATATATATATATATATATATATGGGGGGTAAGTACAGGAATCAATGGTGCAGAAAGTAGAATTGGTAATCTGAATTCCAATTTCAGCCTATTCTGTTGCATTCTCTTCACATTAATGCATTTAAAAAAGAATGCATCTTTTTTCCTCCCAACTATGGATTAAATAGCAAAGCAGATTAATCTTTTGTGTCTTAGTTGGACACCAGTATTGAAGTACAATCTCTAAATTTAAAAATATGGAAAAGGCAGTAGGAAACCATTGTACTATCTTTCCGAAGATGTCATTGTAATTCAGATATTTAAAAAAGGAAGCTGTGGAGAGCCACGACTGCCTACATACGAAAGAATCAGTGTAATATATATGCAGTCTGTTATCATTTTCAATCAATGAGAGTCTAGTAGCTCAGTTCTTAGAACCAAACTGCCTGCACATATGATTTGATTATAATGGTGAAGGCTTGTACAGAACCAGCCACACTTTTCAAAAGAACTGAATAAAAAGAACAAGTGCACATAATGTTTCACAAGGTATCCTCAGATTTTGTATCCAAAGTTGTAGTTTTCTTAGATTAGTTGCCAACCAAGGCTATAGGGTTCAATCTGTCCTGCTATTTAACCATAGCTGGAACAAGAAGGGATGGATTTATACCTTTTGCAAGGGTAATTGCATGTAAGTGAATTTTACAAATTTGATTGGAATTTGAACTTGGCACTCTAATTTCTCATTCTGTATTTTTTTTTTAATCTGCATCACTCTTATGCAAGGCAGTAAAGCCACTAAGACACAAGGGGTTACAAGGTATGGAAGAATTAGAAACAAAAACATTAATAATGAGTGGGAAGAGAAAAGAGTAATCTGGAGGACAGTAGATAGTGATTGACGTACACCACTGTGTGTGTGTATATATATATATATATATCTCCAAAGATAATCTATATAAACAATAAAGAAATCTGATAGAAAATTGCCTTAAAGTGATGCTAAATCTTGACTTGAAGTACTTTCAATGTTTTACATGTTAGTATCATATTTTACATTGTTTTTGTTACAATCATGGTGTTTCTTCTCTTACACTTCTCGCTTGTGGAACTCTATTCTGTCTCCATGCTTTCCAGCCAATTTTGATCAGAGGGCAGCACAAATATTCAGGCTGGTAGACAAAAATAAATATACTGTTTAAGAAATAAACAGATCATTTACTCAAATATGGGTATCCACTAAAAATAACATTTAAAGTGATAAAAAAGAGACACATATGAATAATGTAGCAAGATGTATGTATAATTCTTTTTATTCCAGAATGAAATTCTTAACTCATTAATTTCATTTCATGTGGTGTACTTGCCCGATTTTTTTTTCTTTCAGTGTCTAGCAAAGACATGTCCAGACAACTAAACAATTGAATATTTACATTACTGATCATAAACTCAGTGACCAGCTTGTGTTTTTCTTTCTTTTTCTTTACTGCTTTCCTTTACTCTCCCTTTTCTTTACTCTCAATGCTTCTCTCTCTGTTCATTACTCACTCTCTCTGTTCCCTCCCTCTGTTCATTACTCTCTCTCTCTTCCCTCCATTATACTCTCTCTCGTTCGTCCATTACACACTCTCTTCCCTCCGCCTGTTCATTACTCTTCCTCTCTGTTAATTACTCTCTCTCTTCTTCTCAATTACTCTCTCTCGCTCCCTCACTATCCGTTAATTACTCTCGCTCCCTCACTATCCGTTAATTACTCTCGCACACCCTCTATCCGTTAATTACTCTCTCTCCCCCTCTATCCGTTAATTACTCTCTCTTCCTCATTCCTTTATCTGTTAATTACTCTCTCTCTCTCTCTCTCTGTTCATTACTCACTCTCTCTGTTCCCTCCCTCTGTTCATTACTCTCTCTCTCTCTGTTCATTACTCACTCTCTCTGTTCCCTCCCTCTGTTCATTACTCTCTCTCTCTCTGTTCATTACTCACTCTCTCTGTTCCCTCCCTCTGTTCATTACTCACTCTCTCTGTTCCCTCCCTCTGTTCATTACTCACTCTCTCTGTTCCCTCCCTCTGTTCATTACTCTCTCTCTCTTCCCTCCATTATACTCTCTCTTTCGTCCATTACACACTCTCTTCCCTCCGCCTGTTCATTACTCTTCCTCTCTGTTAATTACTCTCTCTCTTCTTCTCAATTACTCTCTCTCGCTCCCTCTCTATCCGTTAATTAAAACACTTTCTCTTCAAATTAATTACTCTCTCCCCCTCTATCTGTTAATTACTCTCTCTTCCTCATTCCTTTATCCGTTAATTACTCTCTCTCTCTCTGTTCATTACTCTCTCTCTGTTCATTACAAACTCTCTCTTTTTCCCTCTCTCTGATTCAAAACTCACTCTCATTGTTCCCTCCCTTCTGTTCATTACTCCTCTCTCTGTTCCATCCCTCTGTTCATACTCTCTCTCTCTTCCCTCCATTATACTCTCTCTTTAAGTCCATAACACACTCTTCCCTCCGCCAATTCATTACTCTTCCTCTCTATTAATTACTCTCTCTCTTCTTCTCAATTACTCTCTCTCTCCCTCTCTATCCGTTAATTACTTACGCTCCCTCTCTATCCAATTAATTACTCTAGCTCCTCTCTATCCGTTAATTACTCTTGCCCCCCTCTATCCAAATTAATTACTCTTTTTTACTCTCTATCCATTAATTGTATTGAAAAACTCTCTATCCGTTAAACTCTACTTTACCTCTCTATCCAATTTATTACTCTCCGCACTCTCTATGAATTAATTACTCTTTTTACTCTCTATCCGTTAATTAAAAGAAGAAAAACCTCTCTATCCATTAATTACTCTATTTTCTCCCCTCTATCAAAATTGTTCTCTCTCTCTCCCCCTCTATCCGTTAATTACTCTCTCTCTCTCATTCCTCTCTCTGTTCATTACTCTCTCTGTTCATTACTCTCTTTCATCCCTCTTTCTGTTCATTACTCTCTCTCTCTCTCTCTCTCTCTCATCGCTCTTTCTGTTCATTACTCTCTCTCTCTTCATTACTCTCTCTCTCTGTATCTGTCTTTTTTTTTATTTTTTATTCTTTCATTGTCCCCCATCTGCCTATTTTCGTACTTTTACCCACACGAAATCTGTTACTTGATGTTTTTCCTCCTAATTCTTTGCTTGGTTACAATGGAAACAAAAAAAATTCCATATGAGTTTTTCTGTTAACAAGCCACTCCCTGCTGGTAACTGAGGGAGGAGGAATGTGGAGGGTTAGGGGTGAAAACTGCAAGGACAACAACCTCCTGATTAGGTTAGAAATTAGTCAATGATTTTGTTTACTTTCCATCATAAAAGATAATCTTAGCAACAATTTAATCAACAGTAACAATTTGTTTATGATTAGGTCTGAAGATTTTTCTGACAATCATTTAGTCAACTTATATTTCCCCAAGTGAATGTTAAATATATTTTGAAAGGAGGACCTACCTTAAGGTAGTCAAGGAATCAGCAAGAAGAGAAAAAAAATGTTAAGAAGGCTGGAGAACACATCAGTCAAAATCTTTGGATTAAAAAATAGATCAGGTTGCTAGTCCAAATAATTTATGAAATAATAACCCAACCCTATAAAAATTATTTTGAGATATTTTGGCTAATTTCGAACAATTTTAGGATGCTGAATCCAAAAATAACATTATTTTCCCACCATTTACTTTAGTTTTCCTGCTACTGAATACTATATCCTATGAGTTAAAGATCAAATGCATATCAAATATGGATCAGAGTCCGACAGAAAGATAAAATAAAAGATCAAATAGGAAACATATATCGATCTAACATGTTTCACTTTTATTAAAGTTTCATCAGAGATTGAGAGAAACAGCCAAAGAGACAGAATTTTGGTATTTTCAATTTTGTTTGGGTCAGTACTCATTAGCCAGTCTCGTATCATGTGCATTAAAACCGTAGATAATGCCCACTTAGACATACCAGAATTTTTACAAACTTACTGATGTAATGGAATAACCAGTCACCCCCATGAATGATTACACTATAGGTAGCAAGTACCTATAAACAAAAACAACCAATCAAATCCTAAATTTACTCCATATTTTGTATGGAACTGTCATATTTTATTGTAGTAAGAGAGATTTACTATAAGATGAATTTTGCATATCAGACGTATAGATTTTCAAAGGTGAATCACCTGCATACTTGGAGAGTTTATTACAATAGGTATAAATCCATTGCATTTCCTTAAAATACTGTAGAATATAATTAAAAAAAATGATACATTAAAATTAATGTTTTAAATTTTATCTAGAGTAATTTTTATAAGGTAAGCAAATACCGAATTTTTAAGAATCCATGCCACTGACACAGCACAAAATCAAATTGTGAAAATCGTACTAGGAAAATTGTTTCAACAGTTTTTGAAATAAAAGTCCTTACCAGCCAAGGAAATCTTTTAATTTGACATTAATACCAACCACCAATAATGTTGAGAAATAGGTAACAATTTTAACTGCAAGGTAGGCTTACATACTAAAAGGTAATCAATTATTCCTTAACCCTTTCCAGTGAGATTGACCAAATCTGGTCAACCAAACATTTGTGTTTACTTACAACCAAATCTAATAATACTAAAATGGCCCAAAATATGCTACTGAATCAGCCTGAGCAATATGTATTGAAATAAATAAATTATTTTGTAATTTTTTTTCTTAGCTGATTAAATTCCTTTACCATAACAAGCAAAGCGCTATGAATGTTTTGGAGAACTTGCAAATAATTCTTGACTTTAATGACATATTTGAAGCAAAGGAAATAAACTTAGTTCTAATGATTGCAGTACTGACAGTATTCGAAGTACTTGAACTGTTAAATTTACAATACATCATGTCAGAAGCTAGTCTCACAAGCCATTCCTAGTGAGTTTGATCCTTACTGAGTTCTCCATTGCATTATTTTATTTGATTATACAGTTAGCATTTTCATAAGAAATTGGTATAAGCCAACCAATATTGGTAAATTTTCCAGGATATATTTATATGGTAAATAGAACATATAAATTACTGCTTATAATAATGTCTCCATTTACTAGAAACTAGCAGGTATGCTCACTTGCTATCACTTTGCAAAGTAAGATATATTCACTACTTGAAATCTTTGAAACAAAAATTTTAAATGAACGTTTCATTTATAAATTGGCTTGTTATAGTTAAGGAAAGTTTTACAAAGAGATGCCAACTTGTTGAAGGCCAAGTAAAATGCAAATTTCAAATACTTTTTTTTGCACGATATAAGACAATATTCCTAAACAGAACTATTTTTGATATGAAAATCAAAACAATCCTTAAATAAAAGAAAGAACAGTTAATGAAATAAACTTTTTTAAAATCAATATGCAAATTAGTTAAACCTGAAGAGTGATAATGCCTAGAAGTAGATAATATATAATACAGATATTGAAATTTTTTAGGATATAAATTACTATAAAGTGAGTTTGGGATTTTTAACCCCAGAATTCATTGGATAATTGTTCTCCAATTTCACATTTATTCATATAGATTCCATAATATAGGTTTTACTTAATTAGCTATTATGTTTCTCTAACTCTTCAAATGTTGAATGTATAACTAATTCTATTTTCCCATCTTTAAACTATATTTATTTTATCTTACAAATTGTCCCCTGTTCTGTCACCCATGAAAAAAAAAGAATTGTACGGAAAATAAGGATCTATATAGATCAAATTGTCTTTTAATTAAGTGGCACAGGAGAATTAACATTGAACTTTTTAAAAGGTAAGCTTAAACATTAATTCAATACATAAATGCAGCAATTTTGAATTCTTCTGCAGTTTATTGATGCCTATCACATCTAGCTAAGAGATAATCCAAAGGGTCAAATGTAAATGCCACCCGATAGGGAGGCTTTTAAGCTAATTTATGAATAAAACATGGACAGCAATTTTTTATATAAAAAGAAAAATAAGAGTTACTCCCCTTGAACCATGAAAGCAATGATAATGATTAGTATAATATATTAATATATATTTTTAACCTCGCATAATCTGGCAACCCCTGAATCTGAGCTCAACAAAATCATTCCCTGTGCCTAACTAACTTTTCTATGGCTTTTGAATGAACTATGAATCATTGAAATCAGACCAGTAGGAGTGAAGGAGTTGCTTGGACACACACACACACACAAAATATAAAAAAAAATAAAATGGTTAAAATTACCCTTTTCTGAAAAAACAATTCCAGACCTGGGTCCTCTCAAGGATTTATGAGTGGTGGTAGTAACAATATCACAATGATCAAAGGGGCTTGGGACAACCCCAGCTGCAACAAGACCACTGATATGCCATGTCTGCCATTAGAAGACAATCTACTTCATTGGCTATTTTAAATAGAAACGCTCATAATCCAAATGGCGAGAATAACAGCTCACACCTGAAGAGGAAAATAAGAAATTTCTGAAAAGATTTATATATATAAAAAAAAAAAAAAAAAAAAACAGTAGCTGGCTTCATATTCCCACAATTGCAGACATTGGTGTTTAAGTTCAGGTAAAATGTCAGGATTTCCTCAAGCGTGGTGTCATTTACTAAAGGCCAAGTCACAGTGCATCTCTTACCCAGACCTATTTCAAATTTCATTGTTCCACTGGCAAACAAAGTTTCAGTTAAGGCTTTTGGTAGTTCACTGCTGTAGTTGGCTTACAAAATTCAAAGAAAAAAGATTGGCTTGAAAAAGTTATCTTGCATAATTTTTTTCTTTATGTAGTGAAAGAGACTATCAGCTACCTCGAAAAAGAGTTTGTGTTTTGTATGCTGATTTTAAAAGAAAAAATTACCTAAAAAAGTAGTTAGCAAAAATCTACTTTAAGGACTAGAATCTATGCTAATTTCTTCCCTTTGAATGGCGTGAATAATCAGAAAGATAAAAAAGAATCAGTGCAACAAAAGCTGTTGTTTTTCACTTATGACAGGATTAGATTTTTCTGAGTTGGGTGGAATAACACGATTTTTTTTAATTGAGAAGTGAAGGTTGGATTTGTGACCTATTTTAAAGTTTCTATTTTGCCTGTTTGACTGTTACAATGGACTCTCGTTTGAACTGTGATTTGGCTACCTTTAATTTCAAAAGAACAGAAGAAATCTATTGCAGACGTTTGTTGATACTCTAAGCTGACAGTTTTTTTTTTTTTTTTCTTTTCTCACTTTATTAAGGTCTTATTGTTTTTAATATATAATTTGATGGAGTTTCAGATCCATCACTTCCCATCAACAAGGGTGTATTTTAATCTTTGAACAAATTATCCATGTTAAAACAGTTTTAATGAAACAAACACTATTGGAATTATGAATTCTGAACAAATTTATGACATGAAATAAAATAAACATGGAAGTAATTATTTATTTCATTGTTTAAAAATAAATTAACTATTATAATTTGACTTATTTTTTTAAATAGACTTTTTTAAAATTATAGAAGAAAAAAAATTGATTCTTAAAAATGCATGATTTACCAGAAGGATTAGGGTTAATGTTTTATACACCTTGTTTACAATATCAATTTTTTTGAATTAAATTTATTAGTTTTAATTTTAACATTAACTTTACATTACATAAATAATTTTTTATAATAAAATATGTTTGCTAAATTTTATGATTTTTTTAATAAAAAGTGGAAATGCATTTTTTTTGAAATAGCTTTTAGAAAAAAAAAAAAAAAAACAAACACAAATTACAAATAAAAAAAATTTAATTTTATCACGGATAACAATATACAAAGAGAGAAATATTAAATTAACATTATGTAACAATTAGTAATTTAAAATAAATTTTGAAAAATGTTAAATTAAATTCTAACAAGACAGTTTCCTAAATTATTTTTTTTAGTGAATTGTGGCAAAAAAGTTTGGTTTTGCAATGAAAATTTAAATATAGCAAATCAGAAGGAAATAAATTTCATATTTACTGCAATAAAATAAGTTATTCCAAATATAAAAAGCAAAAATTTCCTCAAATTTCTTCAGTTGAAAACTGTACAAACCCAAACTAAAATCTTTCATTGAAGTGCAATAAGGAGATTTGCCCATGAACTATGACATTGGTTTATTAAAAGAATAACAAGCAGGCAAACCATCTCCTTTCAATGTATGGTCTTACACAATCTTCCTACTGCTTGTTTTATACATCAATTATAGCAAATGTC